ATGAACCAGAGAAAGAAAATAGTTTCCACCATTCTGTCATTTTTTAAGTAGATCTTTACTAAACTTATTATTTGAATATAAACAGGTTATGTGAACATTAGTGCTAAATATCCATGTATTCTTATTTGGCAAACAAATATTAATATTCTATTTTAATTTTTATACCCTATATTACTTTTTATATCAAAGTCTGGGGTTAATTTCTTAAATGAATGCTAGATATCCAAATGCACTGGCATTCTCTGAAAATAATCTAAATTTAAAGACTAAATTAATTAAATATTAAATTTAAATACTAAAGTAATAAACTTGATTTCATTTTTGCATAACTCACATTGAGGTAAAAAATGTGGCAGTCATCTTCTGTGAACTACAGAAGAAATGAGTTCATAACTATAAAATAAATAACCCTAAACATTCACTTATTTTTCTTGAGTGTAAAGATGTTATTAAATGATAAATTGCTCTTGATAATAAAAATAGATATACCTTTATATTTTAACATACATTTATTATTCATGATTGTATAAACTAATAATATTATATACATAATTATTTTATAATATAAATCGTATCAGTAAATGTACCTTTTAACCAATTTTTCTTTCTCTATCCTACTTTACAAATTAAACTCTATTTTCTAGTTGATATTTCCAGCTAGTATATTCACTATACAAAAGTGCATGCTTTGATTTCATCATCTCTAACTTTGCCCCTGCCTTTGAAATGTAGGACTATACTCTGTGTTGGAGGAAGTACATGTATAATGTACTTCTGTTTATGCTCATAACCTCCAAAACATTATTTCTTCCCTAAAACATTCAAGGAAAAAAATCACTACTATCAACTCTCTGAAATAGTACAAACAGTTCTGTGTGCCTAGGCCTTTGTATAAAGGAGCTTTTAGAGACCTCATTTGCATTTCAAAGAGAGATAAGAGTCAAAATTTATCTATTAAATATTATCTAGAATAGGGTTTTCAGGTGAGCACGAGACATTCAGCTAAATTTAAATCAGAGATAAACAACTTTTTCAATGTAAATATGTCTTGTGCAATATTTTGGATATACTTATACTAAAATCTATTTGTTTATCTGAAACTTCAGAATTAACTGGATAACATTTCTTTTTAGGTACGAATCCTAGCAACCCTGCTCATATTTATTGTACTAGAGCTTCCTTTATTTTGCCTCAAATAACATTTATATTTCAAGTCAATGTCTCAATTTCTGAAATCAAAACACTCTGAATTAATAATTTTATAGCTTTTAATTCTTCCCAATTATCCAACATCTAATCTCTACTCTGCCAGATACTATATTTGGTATTGTGGATCTAAAGATGAAATAGATAAAAATGAGGCAATCTTGCTCCCCCTAAAGAAATCAGTTGAGTGGTAAGATGCACATATCATGAACAGAAAGCAACTCCTTATCAAACAATGTAAAAGAATGATGTGGATCAACACTGAGATGGCCCCACTGTCTAATAGGGCTATCAGGTTTCACACAAAATGCCTCATCCATGAGTCTTAAATGGTATGTCTTCCATCATTACAGAAACCAAAATGATAAAGTAGCAAATAAAGTATACTGTAGGGCTAAGGAAATTCTTGTTCATTGATTTAACCCTAAAATATAAAAGTATATGAAGTTTTTTTATTAGGGCCTTCAAAATTTTAGAGTTAACAAGAGTGTGCTAAGCTTCAAGAAAATTTACACTTTTAACACATTGATTTACATACACACAAAGATTTCTAAAATTTTGCTTAAGATTTATAGTAATGCTTTCTGAAACAAAATTATATGCAATCGGTATATTCATGAACATCCTTAATGAGTGAAGAATTCTTCAGTAAGGATTTTTCTACATCTTAAATATGTTTCTTATACAATAGACACCTATTTTACTAAGCAGTTTTCTAAGAGCAAGAAAACTCTTAGAAGTAGAAAGATAGTTTCTTCCCCCCTCCCCCACTATCTTTCATTCATACATACACACTCATTTTTTTCCTCAAAAAATAAATTGTATTGAGTGTTGGGAGGACAGGGTTGTGAATAGTGCCTGCAACAGGATTCTTTTTTTCTGGTACTAGGGATTGAACTCATGGAAACTCAACCCCTGAGCCACATCTGCAGTCCTATTTTGTATTTTATTTAGAGACAGGGTCTTCCTGTGTTGCTTAGTACCTCATTTTGCTGAGGCTAGCTTTGAACTCAGGACACTTCTGCCTCAGCCTCCTGAACTGCTGGGCACAACAGGATTCTTTTTTAAATACCTGACTGACTGGTGTTTACAATGATTCCATTTATGAATACCAGTATACAAACATTTTCTGGACTAAATCTACTAAAATGCAATTGGATATTTTCTCCATACTTATTGCCACAATTTCTGAAAACATATTTATTTTCCAAAAGAGGTTGAATTCTGCCCCTCAAAAAAATTCGTAGGTTGAAGTCCTAACCCTTAATACCTCAAATACAACTTTATTTGGAAATAAGGTCATTGAAGATGTAATTAGTTAAGATGAGATCATACTGAAACAGGTTGGGCCCAATATAACTGGTGTCCACATAAAAGGAGAAATTTGAACACAGAGACATGCATACATAAGGAACACACATAAGTATGAAAGCAGTGATTGAGGTCATGCAGCAACAATGAAGATTATCACCTAGCTTCCTGGGTGAGAGACGTGAAGAGATTCTACTTCACTGGCCTCAGAAGGAAGCAGCCCTGCTAAGATTTTGCTCTCAGACCTCTCACTTGCAAAATTGAGAGAAAATAAATCTATTTTTCTATGAGTGCCCTAGTAAAGCAGTACAGATACTTTTCCCTCCCATTTCCAACTTGTAGGAATCCATAATGGGTAAGGAAACACCAAACTTCCCATCACATACTTCAAAAGAAACCCTAAAAAAAAGAAAGAGAAGGAGGAGGAGGAGAAGCAGCTCCATTAAAATTAAAGAATCATTTCTCACAATAAGTTTGTCAGATTCTATTTCATCCAAACAAATATTAAAAGTTATTTCAATCCTCAAAAGACATTTCTATCACTGCTTAAGTTAATCAAGTTTATGAAATGCCTACAACCAAAAATTCAAAAGCAAAAGTCATTCCAAAGAAAGAATTATTATAAATTGTTGTTTTTAGTTGTAATTCAAACAAACATAGGTTGAACATTCTTTGTGTTCCAGGAACAAAACTTTTTTAAGTCTTTGCATGAATTTGAATAGTAATAGGTCCTACCAATGAGAGCTAGGACTATCTTCATTTTACTTAGGAGTTAGGTGGGGACCGAAGATGTTCAAAAACTTGGAAAGAGGTCACACTGCAAATTAGCAGTAGGTACCCAGATCCAACAATTTTGGTTCCTGTGTCGACAAATTTCACTGTCATACTGTACTGGTTTTGAATGATATTGGTGTAACCAGTCTGGAAAGTAGTACGGAGATTCCTTTAAAAACTTGTAATGGAATCACCATTTGACCCAACTATCCTACTCCTCAGCCTATATCCAAAGGACATAAAAACAGTATACTACAGAGACACAGCCACATCAATGTTTATAGCAGCGCAATTCACAATAGCATAACTGTGGAACCAACCTATATGCCCTTCTATAGATGAATGGATAAAGTAACTGTGGTATATATACACAATGAAATATTGCTCAGCATCAAAAGATAATAAAATTATGGCATTTTCAGTAAATGGATGGAGTTGAAAAATATCATGCTAAGCAAAGTAAGCCAATTCCCCAAACCAAAGGCTGAATGTTTTCTCTGATAAGTGAATACTAATTTATAATAGGGGAAAGGGCATAGGATAGGTAGAGGGAGGGGAGGCGAGGGGAGATGGGAGTACATAAGATGGTGGAATGAGAAAGACATGATCACCCCAGGCACATGTATAATTGCACAAATGGTGTGACTCTACTTTGTGTACAACCAGAAGTGAAAAATTGTGCTCCATTTATGTACAATTAATCAAAGAGTATTCTGCTGTCATGTATAACTGATTAGAATAAAATATATATGATTAAATCTAGCTCATGTTTATGTAACACAAAAACTATTTAGACTATGTCCTTTATTAAAGACAGTTAATTAACATGGATTTCATTTATGTATTAGAGAAAATTGTAGATAATCCTTTCATTCTCAGCCTTAAGCCTCCACCCATCTCCAGCAAATCAAAGGAAAAAGTTCAGCCTCTGTGACTTAGGGTAACTGTGATGCTC